CTCCTCCGGGCTGGCTCCGGCTGCTGGACTCTGTTCCCTGGACCGAAACGGCGCCCGGCGTTTGTAGTGGAGATCCGAGCAAGCCGCGTTAAGTGGGTAGAAAAGGGAGCTCTGCGTAGTCGGTGCCCTGGGTGCAGATTTTGGCATGCCTGGTATCCAGCCTCCTTACTAAATAGCTGGGCTGTCGAGGAGTTGACTTTGTTTCTTCCAGGATTATGTTTAGGCCTCTAGTGTACCCACGTTGTAAAACCTGGGTGCTCTGCTCGATATCTTTGGTGAAGGTAAAGATGATAATGACTTATGATCATGGGTGGAAAAAAGCAGGCATTTCTAGCTACAGCGTAAATACTATTGTAGTTCTAAGCTCTCATATCTTAAAAAAAGTAGAGGCTGAATAGGCTGTCTTCAGATTTTGAGGTAGCCTACCTCTGGCCTAATAATGACCTTGAGTATTTCTTAGCAATAATTAAGAAACTTAGAAATTAATGGGTAATATTTTACAATTGGTATCATAACATTTAAATTCTCCACTTCTGTTTTTTTTTCCATAACACAGCAACAGAAGTATAGTTAAAAAATGTGAGAAAATCATTGCATGTTTCACTTGTGTACTTGAAATTGGTTTTCACATGTTTCTTTTTTTCTCATGAAATGCATATCATTGCAGTTTGAAATCTGTTAGGGCTTTGTTTTATGGAATTGGATGGAAGAGGTTTCCCTAGCTGTGATTTGAGCTGTGATGCATTTCTCATAGAAGAAAAAAGTAATTTTTGAAAGCCCAAGCCTTAAAATCGCCAGGAAGAGACTTGCAAGCAATGTCAATTAGTAGCCAAGGGAATTAAATTCTTTAAAAAATCAGTGCTTTTGCAGCTAAGGGAAGCTTGGAGTGGAAGGAGCATCAGCAGCTTGAGCTGTTTGTGCAGGAGGGTTTGGTTGGACAGAGGCCTGCCCATGTGAGTCAGGTGACCTGCCAGGGACTTCAGCAGAATCATGCTGCAAAGTTTCTGTGGAGTGTGCCTGAAAAAGGTTATTTTTATGGATTGTGCATGCGTGTGTGCGTACGCGTGAATGTTCTTATATGTGTTTGTACGTGGGTGTCTCTTATCTGAGTCAGCAGCTGATAGGCTTGCTTTTGGGTTTGTGTTTAGATATTATTCTCAGGATATTACTTTTTTTCTTTCCAGGCTTTGGTTGGTGTTGTAGACTCATATTTCTCTGAAGCTGATGTTTTCCTAACACTTTCAGCTTGGCTTTAAAAGCTACTTTGCTGGAATGTTTTAAACGGTTAAAAAACCTCACCTCTAGG